TCACGTTTTTTTCTGTATTTCCCCCAAAGATTTCAATATGTTTTAGACTGTTCACAGACTTTGAAGCTTCTTGCTTTAGTTTCCCTAGTGCTGGGATTATTGCGTTTACCACTGTACCTTGCTTCAAAAATTTAGATTATGGTACAGTATGCATAACATGAAATTTGCTATCTTAAACATTTTCATTATACAGTTTTGTGGTACTGAATGTATTCATAGTTCTATGCAATGACCACAGCTAGTTAGTGTGGACTTCTTTAAATATTAAAACTTTTACATTTAATTCCCAGTTGCTCTTTCCTTACAGTCCAAGGCAATCCCTAGTCACTTTTCGGTCTTTATGAACACCTACTGTGAATACTTCATATAATTTGATTTCTATTACTTTATTCTTTAACAATTCCATGCATGTGTATAATAATTCTGATCACACTCATCACTCCACCTTCCCTTGTCTCCCTCTCATCCGCATCAAAGCCCATCCCCTTCTCCCAACAGGTCCCTATCTCATTTTCTGATCTTTTTATTTCTGGAGCATATAACTCACTATGGCAATAGCACTGAAGATAATGGTTTCTTCTCCTCAGGTATCTCACTTGGATATGGCAGGGACCCATGAGACATTCCCAAATCTATGAATAATTGTTCAAGGGCTCAATCTTGTATAGGTCCTGTGTATACAGCTGCGGCTATTGTGAGTTCATGAATGGAATGACTATGTCATTCCCTTAAAATGGTGTTTCAAAGAAACCTTTCACGTAATTTGACTTTGGAGGGTGTGATGTGGTGTGTCTAAGCATGAGTACTCAACAGTCACCTGCTGGTCGCATCTTAACCATGTGTCTCCTTAATTGTCCTTCACTGCAAAACAGAAACTTCTTTGATGAAGGCTGAGGACAGCACGAATCTATAGGAATAGACATAAATATTTAGGAAATTGTGTGTATATATTCTCTCCAGTCATGGGTCTTTAGTCAGGTCTACAGTACTGAGTATAAACTTCCCCCTACTGAGTGGAACTCATATCCAATTAGAAAGCAGGTAGTTACTACCTTAATGGTCCTGCTCTTATTGAAGCAATAAGTCCAGTTGACACTCAAGTTGGTAGAGAAACATGGAAAGTATAAAACTAGGAAAGACCATTGATAATTTTTCTATTCTAGCTACTGAAGAAAAACAATTTCTGATACTCTGAAGACTAATCAACAGAAAAGAATATTCCAGATCAGTCTCAACATAGTTTCTCTGATATCTGCAGCTGCAAATTTCATGTAATGCATACTGTACCATAATCTAAATTTTTGAAGCAAAGTACAGTGGTAAACACAATAATCCCAGCACTAGGGAAACTAAAGCAAGAAGCTTCAAAGTCTGTGAACAGTCTAAAACATATTGAAATCTTTGGGGGAAATACAGAAAAAAACGTGAAAGAAAAAGGAAAACCATGAAGTGAGGAAAATTGTTATAATTCAAATAAATTAATAAAGAAAAGACATCAAGACTGTAAAAAGAATTGGGAAAATAAGATCATATAATACTGAGGATAACTACACCCACTTTACCAGTTACACTATACAGTGTACACAGTTTATTCAGTTACACTAAGAATAATGATTTAGAAATAACATTCTACTCCATACATGGTACACTGACTTTCATCCTGTCAAAGAATGCACATCTGATGTGGAATTCCACACTTGTTAAATGGAATAGTTCATGTCCATGTACAGTGTGGATTGATCAGTGTGTTTTCTTGTGGATCTTTACAGAGATGAGACATTTGCAAAAGAAGTCCAAAGTACTGAAGTGTTATATTTTATGTCTTAGTTTATGGGTTAATATAAAGTTTATTTGGCATATATACCTAACCACTTTTTTGCCTTATATAATTGTGAAAATTGCTGTAAATATAAACATAAAGGTATATAAATTAGGTAGAGTTCTGTTGATGTAGGAAAACGAACTTAAAAGCATCATGAAGCTATATAAATGTGTGCTGCCAATCCCTCACAGCCCTCTCTGTTCTCCTGTGTGAATGTGGCTGAATCCACTTCTCCCTTTTTGATCTTAATGAAATCAGTCTCTAGCTTTTCTTTATAGATTCATCGCCTAAATGAAGCCTTGTTGTCATTTGCCTTTGACTCACTTATGCAGAGAAAGTAGGAAGTAAGCAACTCGGCATAGAATGGTGTCTTATGTCTGCAACATCACTGCAGAACATCACTGGACAAGGATCATTCCAGAGAACAGGAAGACAGCTACCATCTGTGCCTGAATAGTCTGATCCTATCACGTATTGAAGTGATGTGAGATTCAGTAAGATACTTGCATACATTATCTTGTTTAGTGCAAAAATTCACTGCTGGGCCTAGAATTAAGTGGACATCCCAAAGCAAGAAGTATGATACAGGTCATTCTTTTTTGTTTCCATTTATTATATAGAATAACACAAGTTATGAATCTATTCACACATTCTCAGTTACATTATAAAGCTG